TGTTAATTTAATAGACATGACGAATTAGAAAAAATAATAAAAGTAATTTCAGTGTTATTTTCTCATAGTAATAAAATGTTTTCGTAATCTTGCAAACGCACTGAAATTACGTTCTAGTGACCTGTCAACCTGTTACCCGCACCATACTATAATGCAAAGATTATAGTTGTAGTGAAAGTGATTAAATAAATTTGTTCTTAACCTAGTGCAGTCTTTAATTTATATATCTTCTTCTCTAGAAATTAGCTAGGAAGCACTAAATAGGAAATAACTGATAAATTTCGTGTTTTGAGTTATCTGTTTCTAACTTACGTATTCGGCGAATTGTACAGAAGATAGAAGAGTACATTCTGCCACTTTGCCTTGCGTATGTGAACTATGAGAAAGCCTTTGATTCCGTCGAAATGCTACAGCGGTGCCAAGTTGATTGTCGGTATATCGAAGTGCTGAAGTGTTTGTACAGTAGGGATACGATGGCTATCCGAGTACAGAATCGGAGTACGAAACCCATCCAACTGCAGAGAGGTGTAAGACAGGGTGACGTTATATCCCCGAAACTCTTCACCGCTGCATTGGAAGACGTTTTCAAACAACTGTACTGGAAAGTACACGGTATTAACATCAATGGCGAGTACATCACTCACCTTCGATTTGCCGACGATATAGTCCTTATGGCAGAATCGCTGGAGGACCTAAGCACTATGCTCAATGACCCCAATAGTGTCTCCCAACGGATAGGTCATAAGATGAACATGGAACGTCCATGTCACACCTATGCCGGTAGTTGTTGGGAGCACTAAGCTCGAAGTTGTAGACGAGTATGTTTACCTGGGACAAATAGTCCGACTAGGTAAGTCCAACTTAGACCGAGAGGTCAATCGACGGATTCAACTCGGCTGGGCAGCGTCCGGGAAACTACGACACATCTTCACGTTAGGTATACCTCAAAACTTGAAAACAAACGACTTATGGATCTGATATGTGATCCTTCAGTAACGTCACAGAATAAATAATAGTACTACGTACAGAAGTTGCACTCTTCTGATGTTGCCTGCTTGCCGACGTTTTAATAGCCTACATAGTTATTATTATTCAGATAAATCACGCACGCAAGCTAAATAAAACTTTATCGCTGTGCGCGCGCGTGTAAGGTATTACTTTGTATCTTTTCTCCTTACTACGTCACTACGGACTTTCCGTGGTTGCTAAGGGCTGTAAATAAAGAGTAAAAAAATACATTGTGAAATGATAAGTTACTTAGGCAAAGTACCTATGCTGACTATAATCGACCATATTATCAACTATGTGAGTTCTGTGATGCCCAACGCATGCAACTTGCAAGGCCATTCGTCGGGAATCGCGATGCTTATGGTTCGTATAAGTAGATAGCGTAAACAACAAATAAACCCGAAATACGATTCCTAACAGAAATATGATCGTAATCTACTTAGTTCAAAATCTTGTAAACAAAGTTTTAATTTCAGTATTTTGTGCTAATATAACTTCAAATATTTTAATTACAAAGACGAGTATAGGTATGTAAGTAGGTACTTGAGTAGTGAAGTAAATTTCAACTAAGTTTTGTAATAAAATAGGTACTTAGGCATTACTTCTGTAGTTAAATTATTACTTAATTATTTTTTCGCTATAAGTACCTATCTAACAAAAAAATAAAATAAATTTACCTTTCAATATCCTTCGGTAGCTCAAAAAATGATATATCTGAATCCTTTTAATTGCTCATTAAGCATCCATCCCCGTAACAATTATATTAGGAACGACTTTTTGCCATTATAATTTATCAAATAAATAGGCAATATACATATATATTATTCTTAAATTACAATAAAACTTTTTCAACTATTTTATCCTACAATTAAATATACTAAACACAAAAACTATTTCCACGAGTATTTCAACAAGTATTTACAAAAAATTATTTACGTAAACAACGTTAAAAAAACTTTAACATTCAATCGTCTAAAGCGCGCTAGTCCTGACTGCGATTTACCCCTGGGGCAGCTCGCGATTGTAGGTAATTATTTCACGCAGGTAGCAAGAGTGACAGAGGCCTGCTTACGTAAAGTAAGGTACTAATCTAGATAACACTGTAAATGAGTACCAACTCTAAAGAATCGATATAGATATCTCTTAAGAATCGAATATTGTAGGTACCGATTTTTCATTTGGAAAGCCCTAAAGCTGTCAAAAAGTATAAGATTTGGTTTGGTGTAGTTTACAGTTGATTTAGGATTTACGATTTATTTGAAACTCAAAATCAAATTACGAAATAGGTACTATGTGACAGGAACAAAACAATCATTCCAAAGAGAATATAATCACTACGTTTAAGAGGCGGGACTTCCATAGTAAAAATAATTGCATGAAATTACGCCAAGTTACTCTACCAACATCAAGATATGACATTTAGTTTTGAGAAACAGTGCTGACAACATTGACGAATTACAATAGTGCTGTAAATGTCTATCCTCGAATAATTTTATCGATTTTACCTTTATCGATATATTGTTTATCGATATTTTTACATAAGAAAAGCTAGATCTCTATACTGAATTATTTATGAGAAATAAACGTGTGGATTGAGTAAAACTGCCGATGAGGATAAGAAATCAATGTATTTTACACACAGCAATTTGTATTTATATCTCTACAATTAGGTACAAAAGTATGTATAAAGAAAATATAAAATAAAAAACGCACTTTTATACTAGTAATTAATTAAATAAAAAATAAATGACGACTCCGTAGCGCAGTGGCTAAGCGTTTGGCTGCGGCATTGCAGGACCGAGGCTTCCTTCCCGCACTGAACAATTGTTGCTATGCTGTAAAATAAATAGTCTGCGTCTGGATGCTTGTTTTCAACGTTAGTTTTTTTAAGGGTAAAAATATTGGGTTTTTAACATTGATTGGATTAAATTGCTTTTATGTGTAACAAATACTATGTACAAATCGCTAGGCTTCTTCACAGAGGCACCTATGTACATACTATTCGCAGAGATCCTTTACTAATTGTCGCTTTCAAAATAAGTGCTCATTATAGCTAATGTTTATTGATGAATAAAATAATGATTTAGTTATATAATCTAATTCTTGCCAAAATGTGACTTTAGAGGGATATTATCTTTTGCTACATGTAAATGAAACCTAATTAACATACACATAAATTGTGGAAGTTTAAAGTAAGTCCACTAAAGAAATAACAGTTCGTTTTAGTAGGGTTCATATGCAATGTTTGTCACAAATATGTCTTAACATGTGAATCTTTTCAATTGGTGCATGTGCCAGCTATTTCACCCATTGCTTGCATCTGAAAAAATAATATAAATAAAATCACATTATTATTGAACAAATAGAATGTTAGCAGTCAGAATTGACTTGTAGTTTCTAAGTATAGTTCGTATCGGATTGCTAAACCATCGAACTATCAGATTTAGGAAATAGTGTGTTTGTATTTGTGCACACAATCGTACACTATAAAAACATGTACTACATAGATGGTGGAGGTGGGCAAAGTGTATCATTTTTGGGATTGGAACATTTGCATCTTGATCACTGGAATGTTCCGAAACACTGATATGTTTCATTTGGCTCATTTGTATCATCGACTCCAAAAGATATAAAAGAAAGAATGTTCCGAATACATTAAGTTTCGTCGCGGGCGTTTATTATTGACTGATCCGTGAAATGTTATGTTGCAAAAATGCTGAATAATATAAGTGCTTAGATTATTTATTGTGTACCGTAATAAGATTGTATATAAAATCGATTCTCCTTCATACTTTAACAAAAATGTCACTATGTCAATTCATTATTTACAAAAATGTCCATTTACACAAAACAGCAATGTCTATGTACACAGAATTTACTCGTAAAGTATCATAACTCTAAACTTTATGATGAAAAGGAAGAAAGTAAAGTCAAATAATCACTACTCAAATAAATCCTAAACATAACTCAGTATGTTTTCGTAAACAGGCGCTAATGAATATAAACAATTTGACAAGTGCCGCATCAACGTAAAATGACATATACATAGTTACATACAAAAAACGACCGTATAGTATTTGACACATAAGCGCCTTATTGGTAATTTTTACTTGCATGAATAACGTCAGCGAAAATCCGTACGAGTTGAGTGATACACTTCTTATTTGTTATCTCTATCTGACTTGTGTGAATTATAATTATTTCGCCCGCTCACTCGCCACTCGTGACTCAATAGTTAAGTTAATCATTGTCTCAGTCTCTCTCTCTCGCTCGTGGCTCAGTCGCCTCGCAAGCGACGCGTCGCGCGAAATGAGCAAAGAGCAAAGTAATGTTTCACTGTTCCAGATACAAATGATACATTTGAAACGTTGTTACTGAACCAATCTTTTGTGTCACTTCAGTGATTCGTATCAGTGAGTCGTTTCCGTAAAGAGATACACACGCCTAATAGATGGCTAGTCCAAAAATATACTCGCGTTGAATATCATATTATTATTAAAGTTGAAATCACCACATACCTTTCATCATCTAAGGGAAATATTGTTACGAATAGCCTTTTCTTGTTATCATTTTTTCCGCTTCTTGCACCATTTAATTGGAAAGTTTTATAATGCATATTTAATTTCTTAACAATTCTGTAAATGAACAACGGCTCCTATAGCAAAATTAAAAGCAATCTTAATTAATAAAATATATACAAATATAATTGTTTGATTTGACATTTAAACCTATTTCATTTGACAATGTCGTTAATAGACATATCACGAAAAGCATAAAGAAGAGTAACCGTCATTAAAATTTGACCCCTGTAGTACATATAATTTTTACTATGGAAGTTGCACCAGCCTGAATCATTCTATAATTATATTCGTCAACTAGATACACATTTGTGAATTTCGTATTTCTTTTTATTCTTTAATGTTATTGACACAAATATTTTCAAATAAATTTAATAAAGAACTTCGTTCCGATAAAAATATTGAGAAATCAAGATGCCTATGCTGGATGGAAAAGAGATTGAAATATTTTTTGTAAGTTTTTAACATAATTATGCCATAAGGACTCAACTTTTAATTTCTATTCATCGTAAATTGTATGTTTTTAGATGGGTTGTTAAAGTAACCTCAATAGTGTACAATTGCTGTCTCACTTATGTACTTAGTAGTTTTTTATTATCGTTTCATTGAAACTATATAGTTTAATAAAAAAGAACCTAAATACTGGCCTATAAATCCAGAAGTCAAATTTAATTTGAAGGTAATATTTGTGCAAAATGTGTAGTTGGTTTACCACATCTAGATGTGTAGACTTTATAAAATTAACTATCTAAGTCCACCTGAAATATTACTGCATAAGAGTTAAGATAAGTGAAATCCCCTGGTTAGTGAATACACTTTTCTGGAGGCACGGTAGTGCCCCCGCCAAGTCGAGCAATAACGCGGCACGGCTGTACCATCCTTTTCTCGAAGCAGTTCAGGCCATTTTCGAAACCCTATAACTTCGTTGTGGATAAAACTAGAATCCTGAATTTCTAACTATTCACTAACCAAGTAGGCATTGCATAGACTCGGTATATTTCAAATTTCATGAAATTTGAACCAGTAGTTTAACAATTATAACTAGTCAAAGTTTCTTAATTTTGTCACTCACTGACTGACTGATCATCAAAACTCTAAGGCACTTCTAACAGACATAGAAGCTTCAAATTTGGAATACAGTTATTGTTTGATATATAAATCAAGGAAAAATTAAAATATTTTGCAATTTCGGTCTGGTTTTTGAGAAACACCAACTGCATAAATAACTTTGTAATCCCATATAAATATATAGGATTACAAAGTTACATTTGCAGTGAATGAATTAGTGTACCTATATATGTATAATATAATGGAATAATGGTGTAGATAGGTACCTAGATATAACTATCTACAAAAAGAAATAAAATGCCATCAAAAACATAACTTTGACTTGGCCATCGCATGTAAACACAATGTATCTCTCTAGTAATACATATTATAATAACTTAGATTGTTTAGTGCAATTGCCAAGTCAATTTATTTATTTAAAATATAAAAGATTTTTAGTATTGATGTGGTCACTATAATATGTTGTTAGGTTAGCTAATTACATAATAACTTAGACAGAAGGACCCTTAAGTAGAGACTGAATAAATTAACCGACTTGGTAATACATGGATCTCACACCTTTTTATGGTAGAACTGAGTTGCGATACTTTGCTTTTTTTACAAGTTATGTTTTTGATGGCATTCTTTCTTCTAGCATATACTCAGTGACACTACTAACTTTTAACATTAATGCTTCTGATTTTGACTTGTACTTACACTTTTCAAAATGAGGTATGAAAATATCATTGTTATATAATTTAAACATAAGTCATTTATTTCTTAATACTTTAGCTTATTACAATAGCTTGTAAAGCATTTTAATATCTTAATTTTTTAATTTTAGAGTGAGGAAGATTTACCATATGAAGAGGAAATATTAAGAAATCCCTACTCTGTTAAACATTGGCTTAGATACATTGAGCACAAAAAAGGCGCACCTAAACATGAAATAAATATGATATATGAAAGAGCTTTAAAAGAACTCCCAGGCTCATTTAAATTGTGGTACAATTACCTAAAATTAAGGCGAACTCAGATAAGAGGTCGCTGTATTACAGATCCATGTTATATAGATGTAAATAACTGTTTTGAAAGATCATTAGTATTTATGCATAAAATGCCAAGGATCTGGATGGACTACTGCACTTTTTTAACAGATCAGTGCAAGGTAACAACCACTAGAAAAGCCTTTGACAGTGCTTTAAGAGCTCTACCAATTACACAACATCACAGGATTTGGCCACTTTACTTAATTTTTTTGAAAAAGCATGACATTCCTGAAACTGCTGTTCGGGTATTTAGAAGATATTTAAAACTATGTCCTGAAGATACTGAAGAATATATAGATTACCTAATTTCAATAAATAAGTTAGATGAAGCAGCAGTAAAGTTAGCCCAAATTGTTAATAATGAAAACTTCCAATCAAAACATGGGAAATCAAATCATCAGTTGTGGAATGAATTGTGTGAACTTATATCTAAAAATCCCGATAAAATTCATTCCCTTAATGTGGATGCAATAATTAGAGGTGGCCTTAGACGATATACTGATCAATTAGGGCATTTATGGAACTCACTTGCTGATTATTATGTCAGAAGTGGCCTTTTTGAAAGAGCTAGAGATATTTATGAAGAAGCTATACAGACTGTAACTACTGTGAGGGATTTTACTCAAGTTTTTGATGCATATGCACAGTTTGAAGAACTTAGTTTAAGTAAAAAGATGGAGGAGGTTGCAAAGAAAGCAAATCCAACTGAAGATGATGATATTGATTTAGAATTAAGATTAGCAAGATTTGAGTACTTGATGGAGAGAAGACTTTTACTACTTAACTCGGTCCTTCTCAGACAAAATCCGCACAATGTTGCTGAATGGCACAAGAGAGTTAAACTGTATGAAGGAAAACCTCATGAGATTATTGACACTTATACAGAAGCTGTTCAAACTGTAGATCCAAAATTAGCAGTAGGTAAACTTTACACATTGTGGGTCGGATTTGCTAAATTTTATGAGAGCAATGATCAAATAGAGGATGCAAGATTGATCTTTGAGAAAGCAACTCAAGTGAATTATGCAAAAGTAGATGACTTGGCATCAGTTTGGTGCGAGTGGGCGGAAATGGAAATAAAACATGAGAATTATGAAGAAGCTCTGAAGCTTATGCAAAAAGCCACAGTTTTACCAAGTCGAAAGGTGGCTTATCATGATGACAATGAGACTGTTCAAATGAGGTTATACAAATCCTTAAAAGTTTGGTCTATGTATGCAGATCTTGAGGAAAGCTTTGGTACTTACAAATCATGTAAAGCTGTGTATGATCATATTATAGATTTAAAAATTGCCACTCCACAAATAATAATCAATTACGGTCTGTTCTTAGAAGAACACAACTACTTTGAAGAAGCCTTTAGAGCATATGAAAAGGGCATTGCACTTTTTAAATGGCCTAATGTGTATGATATTTGGAACACATACTTAACCAAGTTTTTAAAGAGATATGGTGGATCTAAACTAGAACGAGCCAGAGATTTATTTGAGCAATGTTTAGAACATTGTCCACCTGAATTTGCTAAAGCAATTTTTCTTTTGTATGCTAAATTAGAAGAAGAGCATGGATTAGCTAGACATGCAATGGCAGTATATGAGCGTGCCACTACAGCAGTTCTCCCTGAACAAATGTTTGAAATGTTCAATATTTATATAAAGAAAGCTGCTGAAATATATGGAGTTCCTAAGACTCGCCAAATATATGAAAAAGCCATTGAAACTCTTCCAGAAGAGAAAGCTAGAGAAATGTGTATACGTTTTGCAGAGATGGAAACTCGTTTAGGTGAAATAGACAGGGCAAGAGCCATATATTCACATTGCAGTCAAATGTGTGATCCAAGAATAACATCTGAGTTTTGGAATACTTGGAAGGAGTTTGAAGTAAGACATGGCAATGAAGACACCATGCGGGAGATGCTTAGAATTAAGAGAAGTGTTCAAGCAACATATAATACCCAAGTGAATATGATGTCTGCTCAAATGTTAAGTTCAGCTGCACAAGCAGCGGGCACTGTTTCTGATCTAGCTCCAGGTATTAAAGATGGTATGCGAATGTTAGAAGCGAAAGCTGCTGAAATGGCTGTTCAAAGCAAAGGTAACATTTTGTTTGTACGAGGTGAAACACAAGGTGTCAAGGAAGGTGGAGATAAAGTGCTTAATCCAGATGAAATTAACATTGATGAAGAATCAGGAGATAGTGGTGATGAAGAAGTTGCGCCAATCCAAAAAAAGGAAATACCTGCTGCTGTCTTTGGTGGACTTGTGCCAGGGAAGGAACAATAGATATTAAACATTACACATATAAAAATAAATAGTTTTATTAATTTTATGCTCATTTTTATTTTATCATCATCATTATTCATGTATCAGAATGATTTTGGTATTATAATATAGTTTCTATAAACGTACATGTAGCAATAGTTGTAAGGATCACGCTCATCCTGGCTGGTTGGCTGGTGTGCACAGGAAACAAAATCAAATCAAAACTTAAGACATACACCAGAGACATTGAGATAATGAAAATATATCCAGTTGTGTGTTAAATCATTGCTTACAAATACAGATCAACATTTACTTTCTATTTGTAATAAGTATTCATGTGTTTGCAACGCTTTACAGACTGAACAGCCTCAACTATGGAGACGTAAATACCAAAAGCCTTGAACCTCAGACATAAATAACTTACTGTGTTACTAATCTGAATGTTTTTAGTCCTACCTAAATAAAGATGGTTATGCTGCAATCTGTTGGATGCCACAAGATATTGCTGGTTGTTTATGATATTCGACAGGATAAAAGAAGGATTCTCTTGCGTTGCCATCACTCAGCATGTCATTTTTTTTATAGGATAAGGGTGACAAACGTGCACTCAGTCCACCTGATGGTAAGTGGTTGCTGCGGCCCATAGACATCTACATCTATCTTCGTTTGCGAATCAAAATGCAGATCCGTTGTCACCCGTGAGGACTAAGATGGAATGCCTCATTTCCAGTAAAAAGGTTCTCCAGTTCTCTACACTCACCAAACGAAACGCAAAGGTAAACCTCTACTTCACGCTGGTATTCTGTGAGGTCGTGGTACCACCCCGGTTCAAGCCGGCCCATCCGTGCGACAGCAAAAGCTGCCGCGTGGCTCCACCACTGTTAAAATTTTACTTAATTATTACACAAGGAAAACCGTTGAAAATGCAACCGACATTAATGCATTTGACTGGTGATTAACGGCCTGAGTACATCAAATGCCTGTACTGAATGAGTGCGTGACGTGTGCAGCTCCGCACCTTTCAGTGTTACAACACACGCATCACGCGTACCTGGGTATCCGGGCTTCTAATAGAGAACTCCGTAAAATATGACGCCATCGCTACTCCAACGAATGCGATACTGCATTTCGTTGAACGTAAGGCATGCAAGCTTGATATGTCGTCTAGACGAAGTGTGCTGGCACGCGCTGCATACATGCTGCACAGAAAACAAGCATTTGAACTTATTCTGTGGTAGGTCGATAAAAGCAGGTAATTGCACAATACATTGGTTATTTGACAAAGTTTGTTCTGTTGCTGCGCCTATGCAACCAGACAGTTATAGCATTGGTAAAGGAGACGTCTACGAAAAAGTCCACAATATATGCATCCGTTTTGTTTACTGCGAACTGCAGTAATGTATAAGGGGAATATACAAAATTTTCTCCAAATGTCAACTTCTGTACGCGACGCCCAGTAAGTCCATTGCTGAATATGACCTTCCCTAAGGAATGCCTCAAAACACGGTCATGAGCCACCTGCATTTCTTAACAGGTCGTCACTCTATTTAGTGGGAGGACTGTCCAACACTTTGCTTACCAGAACAAGGCTGCCTCTCTAGAATTTTTTTTTACCATCGATGGTCGGTTCTTCGAGCTATATGGCCGGCATATTGCTTTTTCAGCTCGATTATGGTTCTAGTGTACTGCTAATATGTATATCCTCATTACAAATTCTATCACGCAGAGAAACTCCGAGCGTAGCCTTCTTCATAGCTCTTTGAGTGACTTACCTTACTGCAGTGACCTCGTCTCAAATTTATAATGTACAATCAACACTGGCACGCACTGGTTGAACACTCAAGGAAAGTACGACAGACCGCGCAGTTCTGCGAGTCTTTTTGTATGAGATTTTTATTATAAGACGTTTCCCCGCGCTAGAATTTACTTCCGTATCGTGGAGGTGGTTTACATACATAAATTGCACAAGAACACATCCAAGCTCGGAACAATTATTTGTACAAACTCTCCTGTATATACCCCGCGGATTTCGAACTCGCGGGTCACAGTGTCACACACAAACTAAACCACGGTGCTGCAGAGCGGATTTTATTTGACAGTAAAAATACTAATGTCCTTATTTCAAATTTCCCTAGACATTTCTATATGAGTTAAACACGAGATTTTACACGAACACCCGGTAGTGGATCCAGGGGATCTAAGGCGCTCAAAACCTTATTTCTCAAATTTCAAAATTGTTTTACAAATGCTCGTTTTATTACCTGTATTCACTAGTAGTGGAGGAGACTCGCTGTGCATAGAATGAGTAAGATAACATTTTGAGTACTGTTTTTAGTGTTTACCTTGATACCTCAGCTGGGTGAACCCCCTCCCAAACCAAAATCCTGGATCCGCCACTGCGAACATTCACGCCTTCACGTTGGAGAATAGTTTGGCATTTTTTTTGCCACCTTAACATCTATTGTGGTCGCTGATATGGTTATAGTTTGCTGCTAAGTCCTATGTTTTCAATGAATTGAAGGAGTTGCTTAGTTGTGAGCAATTTCACTTCTTCTGGACTAAGTACACAGTTTCCAAGATGTGTTACGTTTAAGGGTCCACAGGTCAGTTAGGATGTGCAGAGGTGTTTCTTCCGTTAAGCAACAGAATCGGCACATCCTTGATTTGCTTAGTCCCAGCATGGACATGTGCTTTTTTAGACAACAGTATCCAGTCAGGGCTCTTGCCAGAATATGCAGTTATCCGGGCTTCTGAAGCGAATTTACGATCATAAGGCCGGATTAAGGTTTTAGAATGTTTTAGGCCTGCTGTATCAGACAGATCTTAAGTGATTTCTTGTGATAAAGAGTTTCAAGGGTCAATCGGGCTAGGCTTTTTGAGATTCCACAAAATGATTCGGATCCAAATTGTGTACTCTAGGCCCTCCCGTGCGAGCTTGTCGGCAAGTTCATTGCCTACAATACACGCATGACCCGGAACTAGGATTACCAACTCTCGAAAGGACCAGGGTAGGAAAGTAGGGAGGGTAGTTTCACTATGTACTTTTTATTAAAAGTGTATAGTATAATGGACGCATGATTATTGAGATCATGGCACGACTACGGTTCTTACGAAACTAAGCGAGATATCGAAAAATTTTTGTTCTTACTTTTCGGCGTATCTCGTCGAGATCTATGCGAATCCGCCTAGGCCGTAGGAACCGTAGAAGCCCCGAGATCATGCATAAAATCTGTTTCCTTCAGCGAGCTCCGACGAGCAGGGTTCTCAATCTCTAGGAAAGCAAGGGCCCGGGCGTTAATCCTATACAAACTAGCCTTTGCCTATTGTCTAAATAAATATCAAGAGGCGTCAGGCATAAAAGTGCATTAAGAGCCCCTGCAGACGATGATCGCATCGCTCTAGTGCCATTATTTAGGCAGTCCTTTATAGACTATTTAGCCTGTCCGCAGTTGTCTTTTGGTTGGCCTTCTTACACCAAACAATGGAAGCGTAGGCAATAATCGGCCTCACTATGCTACTGTACAGCCACATGACCATACTGGGACGCAAGCCCCAGTTGTTCCTAACCATACGACTGCACTTACCTAAAACAATTTTTGCCTTATGGCATACGTTAGTTAGCTAGGTGAGAGTTCCACATTCAACTTCAGTGGAAAATGGTACTTCTTTACCATTAAGCTTCGGTGTAACTAATTTGTCCAACCGTCTCTTTTGGTAAAGGTTGTTAACAGTTTTATCAGCATTAACTGATAAACTGTTATCCCTATACCAGCTATTTGTGGGGTTTAGGGCTTTTTGTATGATTGAAGGTAAGTTCTTTGGCAAAAACCCCTTGCAATGACCACAAGATCATCAGCGTAACCTAGTGTGTCAATGCAAAGGTCTGCCATCTTGTACAATAATTGGTTAACCGCTAGAGACCAAGAGGTGACAACACACCTCCTAGTTGACCTTTAGTTATTAGTAATAGTAGTTGCAAACGAAGTTGGAAACAGCGCTATTTTTGCCTTTTTGTTTGAGAGCATCGACTGAACCCACCTAATGGTCGTGGGGTCAACATTTTTAGATGTCAAGCTCCCAACCAGCAGTGATGTTGGGCTACTGTCGAAGGCACAAAGAGCTATTTCTTTATCCTCCAGCCCTTTTTCGACCCTGTCAATAACACTGATCAGGGCTGTTTCTATTTACCTCTGCGGTAAGCATGCTGGTTGTAATTTATGGACCTCATAGCTAGAGCTACATCCCTAATATATTTATGTATAACCTTTTCCAATGTCTCGAGAAGAAAGGAAAATAGGCTGATAGGTCTAAAGGACTTTGGTAAAGCCCTGTTCTTTCTACCAGCTTTATGTATTAATAGAACTTTGACAATTGTCCACTGTTCTGGAATATATCCCCATACAAAATTTGCTCTGAAGATTTTCACCAGATAAGGAAGAAGGTTGGCGTAAGGTAGTTTCGCATTGGGCGCGGTAGAATCTCATCAATGCTCAGAGGCAGGTCCACATGGAATAGTGCTGTGACACGATTACAAAAGTTGAAGCAGGCCCCTTCTCGGCGCATATAAGACATTATTACAAGTGATAAATCTTGGGGGTCATTGTAGAAGCGTGCTCGTCGCGACCCCTGCCAGCCCTTTTCAGGGCTGCAATTCTACACAGCTGCGCACCCATGCCAACAAGGGTTAGGGCTTCCCCCCATGGCGACTCACACCAGCTCGTCCCCGTTGGTGTGGAATGCAGCGCGCAAAGCGGCGATGGGGACCGCCACCCGTCACGCACAGCCCGACACGGCGGAAGGTGGAGGACAGAGTGCAAAGTTGGCACGTGGAATGTTAGAGGAGGCATGAGAGATAAGACGAATGAGCTGATCGAAATAATGAAAGAAAGAGAATAAGATGTCGTGTGTATGTCGGAGACCAAACGGAAGGGCAGTGGTACTGAAGAGCTCCCTGGCGGGACGTTAGCTCTATGGTCCGGAGTCCCGGAGAGCGAGAGCGCCTGCCAAGGAGTGGGAGTGCT